GCTGTAAATCAGAGACACTGCAGGGGAGGGAGAAGGAGAGACATTAGAAGAGGGGAGGGAAGTGTAGGGGTGAGTAAGTGGTGGTGATTCTATGGGGACTACAACCGAGAGGAGAAAGCCCACATTGTACAAAAGGGAAGAATGATGTAAATTACACACACACACACTTACTTTTCAAAAAGGAGTGTGAAGATGGCGTTATGGAGGGGGGACTTCCTGTTTGGTAGCAAGTTAGAGTCAAGTGACCCAGAACATTAAGAAATGTTTTTTTCCTTAACATGCTCTAGGCAACTCTTTAGAAAACACCTGAAAACTTTTCGAGATTGAATTAGACCACTCTCATTTTGATCTCTCCTTTCCCTGTGGTATTTTCATATCAACCTACAGTGCAAGCATCCGAGTCCCTGTTCATGCACAACCTTTATTGGTATTTTAGATGTGGAAAATGTTAGAGCTGAAGGAAACCCTGGGGACCATCTGATTGAGTGGTTTTTATAATTCTTTTCTTATAACAACAAACATGTTTTCTGACAATGAAAGCTTAACACAGGAGCATTTTAAGAAGTAGCTAAATGTGAGATTGTTTTTATTGGAAGTAGTGAGTGAAAGTCTGAGGTTTATAATCTCACCTGATTAGGTTCCTGTTGTCCTTCATGAGACTCCAAGGAACCCTACTGAAACCTTGAGCTCCAAAGGCCTGGTTTTGAAAACTCCTGGTCAAACTCAATGCTTTCATTTATAGAAACCAAGAAAATTTCTCAAGATGTAGTTAGATCTAATTTTAGAACAAGTATCCTGCCTTCTGGAAGAGATGCTTGTGCTGTGGGAGGAACTAATGGTACTTGAGGGTGTTATCAGATGAATGTACTTAAAGTCATTGAGAGACTAGTGAAAATCAGGTATCTTGTTGATGTTAACCCTTGAAAACATTGGAAGGGGGTTAACAAGCGAGAAGGGGAAGTGGGTGCCCTGTCCTGACCTAGAAGCACTTACCTGTTTATTTTAAAGAGAAGTCTTTCCATCAGAAGACAAAAGGCAAGCTAGGGAACCTGAAATAAAGTGTGTAAAAATTAAGTGCTCTTTTCTTTTAAAAAATAGGTACAAGGAGTGAAATGTGTAAATAACTATGGTAGCCCTATAAATAAAATGTACTATATATTAATCAGGTAGCCCTATAAATAAAATGTATTACATATAATTCTGAAATGAAAATGACTGTATCACGGAGAGATCTATTCACACAAGACAGTAAATTAAACCCAGTTTAAGCTTCTTGGCACTTCCTGTATTTAAAATCTTAGTAAGAAAAATTTATTTCCATAAAATAAATTTAGAAAAGTTCATTTCTGATATTGTTCTCAATATGGAACAAAGTTTTTAGTGCTTGTAGATATGGCCTTACCACTCAGTCCAGTATTTGTGTGATTGCTAACATTTTACTCTGGGGCTATTCTGTGTTGACTATTCTGGATTTTAGGGTACAGAGGCAAATACTCATTGTCCTACTGTTAAGAAGCTCCCACTAACTTGGTGAAAATCAATAACTATAATGTGTAAGTTTGATGATATAACATCAATATTTTGGTGACACAGATAATTGATTACATCTTATGAAATGAGGTGATAAAAATGAATTTTAAGTGATGGAGTAGACATTCAATAAAAGAGAACAAGGAGTTAGTCTTGATGTGGTTTTTGAGGGTAGAGGTATAAATGCCATCCTTTAACTTGACTTGAAAAGTGGTAGATTTGCTTGGTTAGGTGAACATTTCATAAAGCACAGCTGATGGACGTGATCTTTGTCCATCCTTTAACCTGACTTGAAAAGTGGTAGATTTGCTTGGTTTGGTGAACATTTCATAAAGCACAGCTGATGGATGTGATTTATCCAAAGCAAAAGGGAAAACTGATGATATAGGACAAATGCTATTTAGTATAGCCCTAGAAGTGTATCTTTGAACTGTAAGGTCAAAACAAAATAAAAGATATACCCTCTGCAACAGATACCTATTTAGGAAAATGGATCCATTGATTTCTAGCAATAAAAAGGAAGATAACAAATTTTGTATTTGATCTGGTTGAAATAATGCTTTCTTTGACTGACTTTACCAAAGCACACTTCTCATTTTAGAGACCTCCCTCCAGTAACTATTCCCTCTAAGAATCACCTTCTACCCCAGCTTCCCCTAGGAACACCCAGGTAGTTCTCTATATGATATAGACTCATCTGTTTTCTTCACAACATTTAGTGCAGCTGAAACTTGTTTTTCATTAATGTTTTTGCATTAATATTTTTGTTTCTGATTGTTCCAATGAGAATGTAAGCACATGAAAACTATATTTAAATAAAAATCAGCTAGGAGTTAGTTTTGTTCAAGGATTTTTTTTTTTTGAATGAACGAGTAAATAATGCAGTGTTATTTAGTTGGAGATTCTGTTAGCTACCCATCAGTGTATGTGAATTAGTAATATGAGTCCATGTGAAATGAAGAATGGTAGAGAAAAAGATATGCTGAATATGTACTACTGAGATTAGCAGTGTGACAAATTTCTAACCTGCTAAAATAAACTTCAATCAGCTAACATGTCTTTTAGTCAGCTTATATCTCGCTCCATTTTCAAGATATTGTCATATAAAACTTATTTTATGGAAATGTCTGCTGATATGTGCTATTTTGGAATCTAAATTTTGGTAAGAAAAGATACATCAGAACTATAGTTATTTTTTTTTTTTTAGATTTATTTATTTGTGCATACAGAACTGGGGTACAAGCCAGAGGTGCAGGGGCGGTGAGAGGCTTCACCAGAGACAGAGCGGGGAGCAGAACAGGCAGATCGACGAAGTACACTGCTGAGGGGAGCAGCGGGCGGGTCAGGAGAGGTCTGCCACGCCATGTGGTCACCTCCGGGGCAGGCGGAGATTGAACTCATGTGGAAGTGGCTTTAGCTTCTAAGTGCTGTGCTTTAACCTGCTGTGCCACCAGGGAGGGCCCAGAACTATAGTTATTTTTAAAAATGGTGTAAACTCTTTGGGCAGACTACATTTAGGTGGTGATACAATTTGGTACTGAACTGCATTATTCGTGTGTGATTTACCAGGAAACTTCCTTCATCACTAAAATATTCTTGAGGATTATTCCATATTCACCATGTTGTTTTACACCTCTAACTAGGAATAATGTTTTAAAATGATGATAGTTGTGAAGGTAATATCTATTCTTGGCAAGGCACAACTCTGTCTTTTTGTATTATTGTCAAATCTTGTTTAATATTGATTTATACTTATAAAAAACTTATTTGGCAATTGATGAACTGAGTTTCAAAGGAGAAAAGTTTTCTGCTAATCAGTTTGAAATTTTAAAGGAAAGGCATTTTCCAAAAAAGATTAAAATTTCTTTAAATCTGATGGACTCCTTTAGCCAAAAAAGAAAAACTTTAAAACATAATTTTAAGGCCCTCCCTGGTAGCGCAGTGGGTTAAAGCACAGCACTAAGAAGCTTAAGCCACTTCAGCATGAGTTCGAGCCCTGTTCTGCTCCCCGCTCTGTCTCTGGTGAATCCTCTCACCCTCCGCATCACTGGCCTGTACCCCAGTTCTATATGAATAAATAGATAAATCTTTAAAAAAAACATTATTTTAAGATGTGAGTTAGATTAAGTCATTTTAATAAAATCAGTTTAGGGGAAATTTCTTACTGTTTGGTTAAATGGTACAGGACACAGGTTTTATTCTTTGAGAGCTTATTATCAATTGAGTTATTATTACACTAGAAATAATGTTTATTCCTCTATAAGCTACAGGGCTTTTTTTCTAGTGTAGTTTTAACAGTTCAAAAAAAAAATACTCAGTTAAAGATCACTTCTGAAATGTCACTGATTATGGCAAATTATTTCCAATAGTTTATGCTGTGCTTTCTTAATTTTAGAAGCCATTCGCATAATCTTGATTTGTTCTGGATACAGCTTAGAGAACTGTACGATAGTGCCTCTAGGCTTTTGTAAAAAAGACTTTCTCACTATGAAGAGTTGGAGATTAAGGATCTGTACAGTGTATTTCTTTTTAATTGAGGTAACATCAGTTTATACCCCTGTGCGTGATTCAGAGAATCTATATTTTATTGATAATTTGTGCCGATACTGTTAGGTAGACATTTTGTAGGCTTCTTCCTGACAATTATGTGATGATTGAAAAGGCAATGTATGCTTTGCCTTTAAGTACCCATTCTTTTACAAGGCATAGGAACTCAGATTATATATCTAGTCAAGGTTATAACTTGACCTACCTATGTTGAAGTCAGCAAGGTGACATTTTTCACTCTGTTTTCAAAAACCACCCATATTTTAAAAAGTCTTGTCTTTTAGAGACTGTAATGTCTATGTTTCATGTATATACTAACTTGAAGGAATGCTCTAGTTGTGTTACCAAATACATTAAAATTTAGTATTTATAGAAACTATTGTAATGCCTAGTGCTAAGGAGACTAGATAGGGTTTTGTATTTTTTTTAAATGCATTCTTTAAGGAGAATAAAGTTAAAGAATTATTATATGTAAAACTTAGCAGGAAAATGACTGGTATATTTTTTTATATAGTGCAGTTCCCTGTTTGAAAAGTTTTTGCTTATAAATTTGTTGTGATTTTGTTAGTAAGAAATCAACATTTTCTGAAGATATCATTTCATCTGAGAATACTGAGATAATAAAGATGAATTGATTCAGTGAATATAGTGAAAAGAAGCAGAGGTACTGAACTCGGATAATATTTTAAATGATAACAGCATCTGACATTGTTTTCTCTTTTATCGCTACATATTACGTGCAAATAATAAGTGTTATGAATTATGTACCACAAATACTAATGACAATCAGAAACGGATCCTCTGGAAGTTTGTTCATGATCTGGTTAATGCAGAAACACCAGTTACACGGTTCACTTCCATTTAAAGCTCTCAGCGTTTGCATTTCTTTACTGATTGGATTATGTGTATGATTTAGACATTCTCATTATTTCCCTTGTAAAATTTATTTGACATTAAAAAAAACTGTAATTAGGGTAAGTTCTTATTTATTTCAGGCACAAAACTGATAATAATTTACTAAGAAAAATGCTCTTAAACTGTAAATGTTTAATGCAAATCACATTTTTAAACTCATGTTACCCCCACTTCTAGTGACAATAATAAAATTTGTGCCTGCACTGGCAAGACATACACTATAAATTGGATATGGCGATGAAACCTTACATAGAAAACAATAAAGTGCTTTACAAGCTGCACATTTCACAAAAAAGCTTTGATCATCCAGGTTTGAATGAATGTTATACCATATTACATCATTTTTTAAAAAACAAGTAATGAACAATCAGCTATCCATTAAAGGCCATCCACTTAAAAATTCATTCACTTCTGAAATAGACTTTCTTTCTTCATACAAACTCTCAATATACAAAGTATTGACTGATTATTTAGTGGTGTGTGTACAATGATAAGTGAATCCTCTAAGTTTTCTATTTCTCAAAAGCAGAAGAAAAGTTACATAAACATTTAAAAAGAAAAGACAACATTGCGAAAGGACCCAGGTTGGTCATGAACTCATGCTGACTTATTGTAGGCAAAAAAATAAATCTTTGTTTAACAATCTCAGGATTGGGTTATTTTAATCCTACACTTTTGACAATGAGATATTGGCGAATGAGAATTTTAATTGTGATATTTGAAATGAATTACTCTTAAATGTTAGCATTTCTTTACACAATGTGTTAGCTGATTATTATATCTTCACTTTACAAAGGAAATTTTGATATTCTGTATGTGAGACCAAACATTTACAACAAGTTATGTATCATTTATTATAGAATATACTTTGTAAATTGTAAAACCAACCCCTACTAGTTTCTGTAAAACTGTCTTAGGTAAGTATTTTTAATATATGATGATTGGAAACCAAATGCAATGACATGTTTGATATATAGTGATTATATGTTTTTAGAATTGTTAACATAAAATATTTTTAAAGCTCTTTTTTGCTACATTGTTTCTACACACACAATGAATCCAGTGACAAAGGGCTATCTTCCCATCATATTTTCTGAATTGGCCATTGCACATTTCACTATGTGAATACCTTGCCTCGCATCATTTTTTTTTTTAAAACAGAAATCTTGCTGTTAAATATCTAGAGCTCATAATAGAACTCTAGATGACATTAAGAAATCTTCTTTTTAAAAAATTTTTATATGTGCTTCCTGAATATGTAGAGTCCTGACACAAGGTAATCACATTATTGCAAGGTGTGTGTGTGTAGTGTACGTTAAAACATTAATACAGTTATGAAGGACACAGTTTTGTTTGTCTGTATTATATGAGTAGTGTCAACTGAAATCCAAAATTTTGTGGCTTAGCTGCATCTTTGCAACCAACCATGTGGATTGCTTTTAGTGGAATAAGCATATTAACTCACCCATATTGAATCAGTTTCAGCACTCAATGTCAGTGGTTCAGTAAACTTGGGGTAAAATAAAGATTCTTTGTTAAGGGATCTGGCTTAAGTTTCTTTTTAGTTCATAATGTTATGTAAAAGGGTAAGTTGAGAAGATACCTTCTTTTTGACCACACTTGAAAGTTGACCCACAATAATTACTGAGATTAAATTTCAGTGTATTTTGTAAAAAATATTACTTGCTTTCACAGAAGTGAAGAGATACAATTGCACAAGGGTGGTTACAATGATAGAAATCCATATCGCCAATAAAATGTTAGCAAGAGATTTAAAAATGAGTGTACAGCACCGCATCTGAGAATTGTATAACAGCAAAATGATTAATATTACTTTTCCATATAAATAAAATCCTTAAATCTTTTGTAGAAATAAATGGGGGGAAAGTGCTTTGTCTCCCTAATTTCTACCAAAATATTTCCTGATGTGGAGCAAAAGACGGTAAAAAATGACAGCTAAAAAAAAAAAAGACATTCATGCACTAAGCCACCATTAGTCTCTGACTCTAATATAAGGCAGGTCATTAATCTTTTGCAAAACTAAGACTTTAGCCACTTAAGCTCTGTTTTAGTGCTTCTCATGACAAGGACATGATAGGCCTTGTAAATTTAAGAGTTAAGATGTGTTTCGGACAGGTTCATTTAGACAGGCTCCGCTGTTTTTTGAAACACCAACTTTACAATAAAAAAATGCTTCGGAAGAAGTGATGAAAAAGTTCTAATAAAGAAAAAACAGAAGAGGTCCTATAGAATTTATCGTGAGTGACACTGTTTAGATCAGTGAAAACAAATTATGTTAGCTTATGTGTCATCCTCCGTCTTAATGATGTGGAAAAGGGTGACATTGAACAAGACCTGGTGGCCATTGTTCCAGGCGTAAAGAGCTCTATCTCTTGCATTGTAGTCAAGCATGGATATGTGAAAGTATTGGTTATGAAAAGGAATGTCTGTGTACTCATAGGTGGAGGTTTTGGTAGAGTAGGAATAATACACCTTGGCTCCAGTTAAGTGGGAGTTGGTGACATAGAGTGTCCCACAGATCATGAAAGATTCCCCTGCACTTCTTTTGGGATATCCGGTGCTCCAGCTCTTCATCACCTCCAGGGTATCTTGGTTAAGTTGACTGATGACAATATTGCCGGCATTCTGGTTAGTCGCATACACAGCCCACAGCCCGATTTCATCAGCCATTAGGTCGATGTCAGAGAATCCACCCCACGTGTAGGGGTAAACGTTGTGAAAGCCAGCATACTCCAGGCTCCGCTGGGCAAGGACTCTCCCCATGTCGAAGTTGTATTTGATGATGATGTTACTCTGATACTTGTTAAAATAGAGTGAGCCATTGTAGACCACGTGGTTAGTTCCTGCCCACTTAAAAGGGAGGTTGTATGTCCTTGATTCAGCTCCACTGACAAAGTCTGCAATTGATTTGTACTCACGGACAATTTTATTGTTAGTGTAACTGTCCATGTACCAGACCTGAGAAGAAAGACAAAATAAACGGAGTGAATGAATGCTGTCTTTTCTAAGAATTCCTAACTAAAGACAGTGGGAGGCAGCACATTTATATCACTGTTCTCAGGCTCTGGAAGCCACACAGCTGATTCCTGACCTGCTAAACGTGATAGTGAGCTTTTGCAAAAAAACTCTGGTCTATGCAGAAAGGAAACAGCTGAATGTTCTACCTTGAAATTGATTTGCTTTTTTTCCTTTTTTATTTATTTTTAGTTTTTGACCATTTGGTATATATTGCTGGATAAACCAAACATATATCAAAGCAAATCACATCACTTTATTCAGTTACCTGATAATTCAATGAGATTAATGACAACTGCAAAAAATGCCACTTTTAGCAAATAGATTTCACCCTTGGTCTGAAAAATGTATGGTTAATTTTACACATTCAATTTGTTTCTCCGTTAGAGGTACCACAGAAATCTTGTAGTAAAAATTGTTCATTGGATCAGCTCTAGGTAAAACTACCTTCTGACAAAACCATGTTACTAATATAAGCTACAAGCTCATTTGAATATAATTTTATGTTTTGTAATAAAATATAAATTGGTGTTTATGATAAGTTTCCAGTGTACTGATTTGTGTAATACAGACATTACCAATTTATGAAGTTAATCCCCAAAAGTTTCAGTTACTAGTGCAGAGACAAGTAACTTGCCTTTTGGAACCATAAAATAAGACTAACTCAAGAACAGTTAGATTTGCTATACTATGTGTGTGTGTGTGTGTGTGTGTGTGTGTGTGTTAGAACATAATAACCAAAAAGTTTGCCATATATTTGTAGATGTTATGTTATCAAACTGAAAAGATTTGCAAATGATGTAACACTTTGGAAGTTGAAAATAATAGTCTGAGGATAATGAGTAGTCCAGTAGCTTTAAAGTGTAAATAAAATATAATTCCAAGCAAAGTAGTTTGTAGAAGCAACATACTCTGTTATTTTTTTCAGAAGCTAAAGGATCTGTCATCCAGGCACCAAACCGCGTTCCAGATGTCTTGACTGTAATTGGGCCTGTGATTTTCATCAATTTGCCACATGCTGAAATTAGAGAAACATAAACATGTTGGGCGGACATAGCCAATGAGTCCTATATACATATCACGCTAATAGCAAAGAAAGAGTTCCTAAAACAAAGCAAATCTGTGAGATTAATTGTACATATTTTAAATGATTCACAGTGGGTGCATTGAACTATAATTGTACCACCAATAGTTGCTTTTTCAATGCTTTAAGACTAAAGTGTAGAATTGTAAAATGGGAAATGTTTTGGACAGTCTAGAAAGAAATAAGTGAGAGAAGTCGTTATCATTATACCCATTCAGCAGCATCTTCTAAGTAAAAAGGTGAGAAAAATTAAGGAAATTTCCCAGGACCTGTTTCACCTGGTCACCAGTTCCCCATCTCCCACCCTTCTACAACCCCCATACTTCCAGACATTGGTGAATTTATACAAGCCAAGAAGGACTCCGTAAGGTGGCCAGTCTGTAATGGCCTATGACTAGTTCCTGTGAAAATATAGAAAGTAACACCTCAACTGCAGTCTACCTGCAGAGACAGGTTTTTGAAAACTCAGCAGGGTCTGATAGTGCAACCAAGAGCCCAAGCCAAACGTCTTAAATCAACCTTTTCGTCACTTTAGTCACATGCAGTGAAAGAGGTAGTCAATCAATGGATACATAAATGATAGAAAAATCAATGGCTATTTTGAAAAATTGTTAGATTTCATCACCTTGGATGTGCATAAGATTTTAGTGAAAGCTTGGACTTCATATGTCAAAAGTTAACGTGCGGAGAAGCCCAGGCATTTTGTGAGATTTTTTAACAGCAAAATTTATAAGTGATTTGTTACCCACACTGTGAAGGTGATGAGTCCCAGTAAATGCTGGCCTTTGGCCTGCACAAAGGAATGTTCTTTATTGTCCATTTGTATCTATTTTCATGTCTTAAAAAATGTTGGTCTATTCCATGCTTTTCCATCCTCTTTTGTCTGCCCTTTAAACTGATAAATTTCTGGGTAATTCCTGTTAGTTCCTGTGTGTCTGGAGGGGAAGGAACAGATTCCCCAAAGCAAATCAAGGACGAAACTAATTCTAGCTTAGAACTTATTTTTGGCCTGTTTTTCTTTATGTAAGTTCCTCAAGAATAATTTATAACTGGCAGAATACTAAACTATGCAGTTAGGGAGATGATGAATGATATAATTATATTTTGTACCATTACTTCAGTGATAAATACAAATTTAGTAATCTCCAACATTTCATGAAACCTGCATTTAATACATTTTTTCTCCTTTATTGAAGAAATTAGATATGATGGCATCTTTATATATGGAATTACTTTCTAATTTCCTTGAATCTGACAAACTGGGCTAATCATTCTAATACCTTTATGGCATTATCTACATTTAATAGGAATACCTTAGGTTAATTTTTTTTTTTTAGATTATGTCAGCTCTACTTTGTATAAACACATGACAATATATGAACAAAGTAGTATTATTTGGACTAGAAAAACCTGAGTGTATTCTGGGTGGATTAGTTGGGTGTATTCTCAGAATGCACAATAAGTGAAAGCAATGTTAACTTTCATGATAGGATGTCCTACATAGATATTTCTAAAATCATAAGCAGTGGTAAATGCATGAAAATTTAAAGTAAAAATATATTGAAATAAGTAGAAAGACATCCTGACCCCAGAAAACACCGTAAAACAAATCTGTGATTTTTCTTAGGTCTGAAGAATAAACTCTTAATTAAGCAAAATAAAATTAGATGGAATATGAAAAGTAAGCCTGGTTTAAGATGATAGATTAATATATATTCTCATTTCCCTTCTTGCCTAAAATATCATTAAAATGATAGAGACTTATTTTTACTGGGATCTGCCAGTTTGTTTTCTGTGATTATTTATATTTCACAAATAAGTGAAACCACCCAGTATCTGTCCTTCACTTTCTTAATGTCAATTGCCCTGTCTGTGTGATGGAAACATCTCTATACTAGAGTAAATTAATATGATTTGACAAACTTTTACTCTGAGATTTCAGTCAATGGACTTTTACATTCAATTTTTTTGAAATATGCAAGTGATGTTATGGAGCTCTGATTTTAAAGAAAGATATTTTCAAATTGATTTTCTAGCCAGATCAGATCCTCCAAACATGTATGAAGTTATGCTTTGCATTTTTTGGAAAGGTTTATTGATTTGTACATATAGAACTGGGGTACAGGCCAGAAGTGCAGGCGTGGTGAGAGGGTTCACCAGAGGCAGAGTGGGGAGCAGAACAGTCTGACTGACCAAGTACACTGCTGAGGGGAGCAACGGGAGGCTCAGGAAAGGTCTACTGTGCCATGTGGGTCACCTCCTGGGGTGGGGATGGAACTGATATTGAAGTGGCTTTAGCTTCTTAGTGCTGTGCTTCAACCCACTGCATCACAAGGGAGGGCCCTGCTTTGCATGTTTTGATTCCTTTCTGAGTGTTCGCCTCTCTGTCACTTTCTTCTATGTCTGTCATCTATCAGTGCTCTTACATTTCCCCAGTAGCTCACAGTATGCACTGACAGCCCTGTCTTCTAGTCACCACTTTGTTCAGCTACAACTTTCCATCACAGGGCTACACTGAGTAAATTAGTCTTTGTACTATTAATCTAAGGAGCACACTTTGAAATGAAGGCTGAATGAACCAAAGTATTAGCAATTTGAAAATAATATCTTTATCTTAAAGGAAAGCTACAGCTTATCTGAAATAGTATCCTGAAGGTGTTTGTTGGACTCTGTGCCAATCAGTATGATGAAAACAAGAAATCGACCTCTGATAATTATTTATGGATATGTCCTTCACTCCTCATTGAGGCATGGATAAGTGGCTTACTGGAGAATTGAGATTTGCCATTTACCTTGCTGGGTGAGAGTACTTGATTCTTTCTTTAGCTAAGTCTATCTAGAAAGCACACCTTTAAAAGAAGGGCTTTTGGATTTGGTCTGCCCACAAAAGTGTTTTATTCATCCATTCATTCATTCACTGATTCACTTAAGACTTAGCATAAAGCACTATTTTTGGAAATAGAATTGCAATTGTGAGCATGACAGAACACCCTTTTTTTTTTTCTGGTAAACCTTTTGTTTTGATGGGAAGAGAGGGGGTAGATAAAAAAGGATGAAAGCTAAATACACCAGGCAGGAATAAATTTAACTCAGATATTAACCAGGTCAATTTGATGAAGAATGATTGGGAGCTGCATTAGAGTGAATAGAGAAAACCTGTTAGAGGGTGATATTGTAGTCTGAGATCTGATTGATGAGTCAATCATGGACCATTAGTTTATTAGCAGGACATTCCCTATGGATCAACCAAGGAATCTTTTAGTCACAGGGGCAGGTTAAAAAGAGTGACTCGTTAGATTTGAATTCTGTTCTATCATACTTTCTCAGTATCTCATGGGTAGTTGAGATTGATAATATCTTACAGGGTTATGGGGAGGATTAAATGAAGAACATATGCTAAGTGTTCTTGCAAAGGTCCTAAAGATGGAGGGATAGGCATGGTGAGTTAAGCGACATAAATAGAAAGATAGAAAGAAGGTCTCTGTGTCCAGAGCATACCTGGAAAAGCAGAAGACAGGTTGGAGAGGTGATTATGCCATGTAAGTAAGCTTTGTAAAAATCAGTGAGTGTTGGGTTTTATTCTAGGTATGATGGAAAACTATTGGAGAATTTCAAGAAGATTGGGGAGTGACAGAATATGAGCTACATTTTTGAAAAGATCACTGGTGCAACTATGTGGAAGATTATTTGTAGGAAAGATAAAGTATAGGCAGAGACCAGTTCAAAGGTTATTACTCTGGTCCAGATGAAAACTGTGATGGAGATAGAGACAAGTAGATAGATTAGGGTTATGGTTTTAGGAAAAACTTAATAGGACTAAATTTTGAATTAGGTATGAGGATGAAGAGAGAAATAGAAGCTCAAGTAAAAATAAAGAACAATAGCCAAATATTGGCTTGTTCAGCTAGGAAGATTCCCTCAGGTGACATTATTGAGTAAGGAACAGGTTTGGACGGAAGAAAATCAAGAATTCAGCACATTATTTTAAGTTCTCTATGAGACTTTTATGTGTGAGAAGGAAATCTAGGGAATAAACTCCTTCTGAGACAGCTTGAGTGGTTCTGTGCACAGTGACGGTAGTGAAAGTGAGAGGCTCAGGACAGCCTGAGAGACAGAGCAGAGAAAGGAGCTGTGGGGCACCACAGTTACTTATAGGACCCAGCAAAAGAGCCCAATGAGGAACTAGAAGTGGGATTTATGAGTAGTGTTATTGTAAGAAATAATTTTAAAAAGGTTGTTTATACAAGAATGAAGTACTAACCTGTGGGCAATACTACTGATGAGATGCCTGGCAAGATAAAGTAATAGAAGTGATTATGGAACTTGGCAGGACATCACTTGTGATCACAGAATCAGAGAAATATGAGCTCAAGCTAGATAAAAGTTGATATAGTGACAGTAAAACAAAGCAGCAATTTTTGAAGATTCTTTGAAGGAAGAAAAGCAGGGATAGTGGATAGAGAAATATGGGTTTATAGATATTTGTATTGTGAAGCTGATGTTGTTTAAGTGAGGTTTATTTGCCTTTTGGAATAGTCTAGAAAATAGGGAGAAAATGATGATGTGAAAGAGAATAAATAAAAGAATATTAAGAGGAAACAGTAGCTTAATTTTTGCAATCATCTTGAATAATTGTGCTGTCAGTACGTGGTTTTCCTTTGTTCTCCCACAATTTCCCACTGTATTTCCAAGAAAATGTTCTTTGGGTAGGATGTTCCAGTTAGGTTAGAATGCTGAAATAATATGTACTTATTCTGTCGGCACAGTAAATGGTATAGTGTTAACAAATTTTTGTATGCTGAGATGGAGAAATGATATTTGTTGAGAGAAAATAAAAACACACCATCAGGATGGTCATGGTCATAACATCACACACTCTTACTCTTGAGAAGCAAAAAGAAGATAAAGGACTTCTAAATGCTGATTTCTTCCCA